CACACAGTCACACACACACACACTCACACATGCACACATGCACACACAGACACACACACAGACACACACACAGTCACACACACAGACACAGTCACACAGTCACACACACACACACACACACATGCACACACAGACACACTCACACACACACACACACACACGCACACAGACACACACACACACTCTCACACACACAGACACACTCTCACACACACACACACACACACACACACACTCACACACACACCCAGACACACACACACACACACACACAAACAGAAGCAGAGACTAATTTAAAATAACACTAACAGACACATGGCAACTTTGCCTAGCAGTAGCTGTTATGTCAGCCAGGCAGGAGCAGAGGCTCTGGGGCAAAGGCTGGCAAACTGGGAGACCTGAATCTGATTCTCAGAACCCACATGGTGGAAGGAGAGACCCGACTTCAACAAGCTGTCCTTTGACCCCCACCTACATGCCATGCACAGGCACACACACAAACTGCATACACATATGTGTGTGCGTGCCTGCGCGCGCATGCATGCAGTACCCGTGAGGTCCAGAAGAGGGCGTCATATCTCCTGGAACTGGAGTTACAGGATTGCGAGCTGCCATGCGGGTGCTAAGAACCAAATCTGGGTCCTCTGAGAAAGCATGAAGTATTTTAAATCGCTGAGCCATCCCTCCAGCCCCCCAGTGCTCATATTTTTGGAGGTGTCTGTGTGTGTCTCTGTCACACAGACTAGCCTTGAAAATGGGCTCTTCCTACTTCAGTCTTCCCAGTGCTGAGATTATAGGTGTACACCGCCAATTTAGAAAGGTGTGTGTTTGCTTTTTTTTTTTTTTTTTTGGTGGGGGCGGGGAGGATCTCACTGTGTAGACCAGGCTAGCCTTGAACTCACAGAGGTCCGCCGGCCTTTACCTCCTGAGTGGCAATTAAAGGTGTGCGCCACCATGCCCAGAGACAAAGGTTGTCTTTAAGGAAAGTGGAGACGGAGGTGATGAAGATCGGCTGAGAGAGAGCAGCAGGGGAAGTTAGGATTGGGTAGCAAGAGTTGGGACAGGAGGTCCAGAGGACCCCTGAGCAGGGCTGAGTCAGCCCAGGGTTGGGGACAGCAGCAGAAAGGAACCCCGGGACTGTAGGGAGAGGTGGGTGGTGGCCCCGCCTGTGACACAGAGAGAAGAGACTGGAGAAGGCCCGAAGCTTTAGTTCATCAGCCGCATTGCCTTTGCTCTGTGGTCTCAGCCCTACTTCCCACTCCAAATGGCTCACAGGGGAGCCCCGGGTACCATGCCCAACCCACTCCCGGTCTCCTCCCCCTTGACCTGCCTGGGTGGAAGAGGTTTTTTTTGTTTTGTTTTGTTTTGTTGTTTTGTTTTTGTTTTTTTTTTTTTTGCCCAATACCCCCTAACTCTGCAGGTGAGAACATGCTCTTCCTGGAAAACCTGGGGCCTCTGTCATTGTCCCCAACCCTAGGTCCAGCCCACAGCCACCAAAGCCCAGTCATGATCTTGCGCTGTGACATCTTCACTGAGGCAGGGCATACATACCAGAAGCTTTCCCGTCTCGACATCCCAAGCCCTCACAATCTTATCATAGGATGACGCCACCAGCCTGGAAGAATTGAACAAACATTGCACCCTGACAATAGAGTCGCTGGAGCCTGTGCTTCCGACAAGGATCCTCAGTCATTTCTTTTATAATTTAGAACCAAGATGGATCTTTCCAAAGACTCTCTGCAAACCACACTGGGGACTTGTACATCCCCGTTGAAAATGGTACCTAATAGCATCAAAGGCAGTCTGGCACCATTGGCTCCCTTACCTTTCAGACACTGCAAAATAGTCTTCTATATTTAAGGTTATAAAAATAACATTTTAGGGGCTGGGGAGATGGCTCCATGATTAAGAGCACTGACTGCTCTCCCAGAGGGCCTCGGTTCAATTCCCAGCAACCACATGGCAGCTCACAACTGTCTGTAACTCCAATGTAAGGAGATCCAACACTCTCTTCTGGCCACCATAGACACTTCACATAACACACACACACACACACACACACACACACACACAGGATAAAGAAAAAATCTTTAAAAGAAAAAAATATATAAATTGATACAAAATTTCTTATGTCACTTTGCTGCTTTCTTTTATCTTTTATCTTTTTATCTATTTTATCTTTTTATTTATTTTTTATCTATCTGTCATCTTTCCAACTCCTAAGACTTGCACAGTTCCCACCTCTGCTTTTTTGTACAGGGAAACACTTTCCTGGACAACTTGCTGTATTCAGCTTGCTCTCATGTATTCAGAGACATCACATAAAATGTCCTGTTCCAAGAGGGCTCACACGTTGAAGGCTCAGTGGTCAGTGGGTGGTGTGGCTGGGGGGGGGGAGTTGCTGGGGGTCCGTCTTTACTCAGGATTAGCCCACTGATGGATTCGTACTTTGATGGCATTATTGGGAGGTGGTGCGAGCTAGGGCGTGGGACGGGTGACCGGAAGTGACCGGAAGTATCTTTGAACCTGTCTCTGAAGGGCACCTCCTGTCCCTGACGTAGCCCTGTCTCTGAGGCTCGGGGTTGCTGTGGAGTGCCTTTTCCACACTCTGTCCTCTGCAGTGACGTCATGCTCGACCACTGGTCAGAAACACCTGCAAAATTATGAGCTCCAACAAATCTTCCCCAAAGTTGTTTGTCTCAGGATTTGTCCCAGTGACAAAAATTCTGACCGGCATTCGTACCTTTGCCTAATCATGTGGTACATGGCAAAGATTTTCCTCTTATTAAAAAAAAAATCTCGATGGGCGTTGGTGGCGCACGCCTTTAATCCCAGCACTCGGGAGGCAGAGGCAGGAGGATCTCTGTGAGTTCCAGGATCTCAGAGTGACTGGACAGGCTCCAAAGCTATTCAGAGAAACCCTGTCTCGAAAAACAAAAACAAAACAAAATCTCCAGGGGGCTGGAGAGATAGCTCAGAGGTTAAGAGCACTGGCTGCTTTTACAGAGGACCTGGATTTGGTTCTCTGTACCCACGTAGTGACTCACAGCCATCCAGTTCCACCCTGTCTCAAAAAACCAAAAAACAAACAAACAAACAAACAAACAAACAAAACCAACCATCCAGTTCCCTCTTCCAGCCTCAGCGCACTCACTGACATACAGCCAAAACTCTCACACACATAAAATAAAAATAAATAAATCTTAACAAAAAAAATGAGACTACTTTTATAACAACTTGTCACAGGCTAGAGTTATCTGAAAGGAGGAACCTCAACTGAGAAAACACCTCCCTAAGAATAGGTTGTAGGGCATTTTCTTAATTAGTGATTGATGGGAGGCCCAGTCCATTGCGGGTGGTGCCATTCATCCCTGGGCTGGTCGTCCTGGGTTCTATAAGAAAGCAGGCTGAGCAAGCCAGCCAGTCAGCAGCTCCCCTCCATGGCCTCTGCATCAGCTCCCGCCCCCGGGTCCCGGGTTCCTGCCCTGCGTGAGTTCCTGTCCTGACGTCCCTCAGTGATGAAACACAATATAGAAGTGTGAGCCTAATAAACCCTTTCCTCCCCAGCTTGCTTTTTGGTCACGGTGTCTCATCACAGCAATAGGGACCCTGACTAAGACAAGGGCCCAGGCTTCATGTGACCACAGAAAAGACACTTCGTGAGGAAAATTCAAGCAAAGTTGCATGGGGGCATGCCTGTCATCCCAGCACCTGGAGGGGCTGAGGCAGGAGGATTGCTCCAAGTTTGAGGCAGGCTGGGCTACATAGTGAGTTTTAAATCTGGCTGTGCCCTGTAGAGTGAGGCCCTGTCTCAAAGAAACAGGAGGGGAAAGGAGAGGGAGGAGGGGAGAAGGAAGGGGGAGGAGGAGGAGGAGGAGGAGGAGCAGGAGGAGGAGGAGGAGGACACCTGATTCTCAGCGCACACGGAAACACTGAGGCCCCCACAGGGACACGTGGTTGTTGTATATTTGCTTAAACAAACAAACAGACAAACAAAAAACCTGTTACTGTCCGACCAGGTACCCTGGCCTGCCTGACTCTCACTTTTCCCAA